TTTCCCATGGTCCCCATGCTCCCAATTTACTCAGGAGATCTTGTCTTTTTCTACTTCCCATGTAGATTAGATCCATGTATGTCTCTCGTTGGATCCTCATTGTTGTCTAGATTCTCTGGGATTGTGATTTGTAGGCTGATTTTCTTTGCTTTATGTCTAAAAATCACTTATAAGGGAGTATATATGATAATTACCTTTCTGGGTCTGGGTTACCTCACCCAAAATGATGTTATCTAGCTTCATCCATTTGCCTGCAAATTTCAAGATGTCATTTTTTCTGCTGTGTAGTACTCCATTGTGTAAATGTATCACATTTTCCTTTTTCATTCTTCGGTCACGGGGTATTAAGGTTGTTTCCAAGTTCTGGCTCAGACAAAGAACGCTGCTATGAACATAGTTGAGTACATATCCTTGTGGCACAATTGAGCGTCCTTTGGATGCTCTTTCTGGGTCTTAAGGAAGTTTGTTTCCTAATTTTCTGAGAGATCACCCCATTGACATCCAAAGGGGTTGTACCAGCTTGCATTCCCACCAGTAATGCAAAAGTGTTCTTTTTTTTCCCACAACCTCTTCAACATAAGTTGTCATCAGTGTTTTTGATCTTGGCCATTTTTACAGGTGTAACATGGAATCTCAGAGTTGTTTTGATTTGCATTTTTCTGATGACTAAGGATGTTGAGCATTTCCTTAAGTGTCTTTCAGCCATTTTAGATTCCTCTGTTGAGAGTTCTCTGTTTAGGTCTGTACTCCACCTTTTTTTTTTTTTTTGGATTATTTGTTCTTTTGATGACCAATTTTTTGAGTTCTTTGTATATTTTGGAGATCAGTGGGGTTAGTGAAGATCTTTTCCCATTCTCTCTGATGTGGGGTTGGTGAAGATGTGGGGTTAGTGAAGATGTTTTCCCATTCTGTAGGCTGTCGTTTTGTCTTGTTGACCATGTCCTTTGCTTTACAGAAGCTTTTCAGTTTCAGGAAGTTCCATTTATTAATTGTTTTTCTCAGTGTCTGTGCTACTGGGGTTGTATTTAGGCAGTGGTCTCCTGGGACAGAAATATTTGAAGCACCAGAGGCAACAGATGTCTTTAGTGAAACAGTATTTTCTAGACATGAGAACACACGTAAACTCACAATGGCTAGGATTGCATGCACAGGACTTACTTGAGATCAAACCAACCAAAATCCCAGCCTGGATGGGGAAAGGGTTCAAGAAGTTCTACCTCTGTCTGAGGAGCCATTGCCAGCTGATGGCTGCTGGAGGAAGGAATCTCTTTCTTCAGTGCTGTGGACCCCGGGAGGCTACTCATGCTCCTGTAGACAATCCTACACATATGCACATGTGGACAGTAATAAATGGACTCCTTGGATATTGAATTAAAAAAAAAGACAGAGAACAAATATATCTGGAGGGAAAATAGAGGGAAAGGGGAAGGATTGGAGGGAGGGAATGGGGGGAGTAGATTGGATCCAAATTTACAATATACATGCATATGAATACTAAATAAAATGTTTAATAAAAAGTTTTACCTATCAAATAAGAACAGCTGACTATATTCCATGTCTAGATAATTACCTGAAATCATCTAGCCACAGCCTTGCACAGACTGGAGATATAGTGCAAGTGTTCACCAGTCCCTATTCCACTACTGGAGAGGCGACCAGGTATGGTAGGAAGCACAGGGAATTGAAATCAAGGATTTATGGGTTCTGAACCAAAACAGGGCTTGCTTACTTTATCTTCATATGGATAGTTTCACTGGGCCTCAGTTTCCCTCTCTGTCCCTTAGGAGACAGACAGGAAGATTGTGAGTTCAAGGCTAGCCTGCGGTATTGAGTAAGATTCTGTTTAAAACCACAACAAAGTTGAAAGTTACCTTCCTATACTGGCCAGCTTCTACAGTGCTAGAAGTTTTTATGCATACTACCAGGAGAGAAAAATCAATGTGCATCTCAAGTGATCTATACAGCCCATGCCAAATTGTCAGTGATTGGTATGAGGCAGAACATTGGTACAGACCAGAGTCTGCTCTTCACCCACACACCCTGATCAGACTGAATTTCTGCCTTTCTGTGTACATTGCAGGCTCACCTTCCAGGCATTCTCAAACATTAATAAATTGGGTGTGTTATATTTGATAGGAAATAACAGCATTTGCCAAGTCTTCTACAAATAAACCAGCATGCTAGAGGCTACAGTTCTACAAATAAAACCCACATTCTTCTAAAATGAAAGATGCTTAGAGAGACCATAGAGGAAGGGAAAGAGACTCCCGCCGTCTCCTGCCTTCCTTTCCCTAATCTACTCCTAATTAGAAGTCCCTTGTCCCTACCCTTCTCTTAGACCTCCAAAGACTAAGAATAATAGACCTAGAGAAAAAGGCCTTGAAACTGGCCGTGCCGAGTGAACTTTCTTGGCATTTCCTTAGGGGGTGGGGGCACTGGGAGTACAGAAAGTCAAAGAGTTGAAAGTCATGAAGTCTCTTTGGTCTTTAATTGCTTCAGTTACAAAAGAAAGAACTGCAGATTACTGAATTTTCTCTCTGTCCTGTCATATTATATCTAAAATCCTCTCTTCCCAATCTTCGTGTTGCTTTGACCTACTTTCTATATGCACCACCTCTACTTGGATCATTGCAACAGCTTCTAGCCTTGCTCCTTGGAATTCATGTAACTGGCAGAGAATCTTCCTAACATGCACAACTGCCTCAAGTATTTTTAATTACAAAATAAATTTTTGGGTTTTTTTTTTTTAATGACAATCCCCCAAAGTCTAGTCTACTTCATTGCGTCATTGCCTGCGACACTACTACAACTTCCACACTTGGTGCATACAGGACTTAGAATGCATGTCTTTTTTCTCTTTCTCTCTCTCTTTCTTTCTTTCAAAAGGCAGGGTTTCTTTGTGCAGCTTTTCGTAGCCTGTTCTGGTATGATGTGGGATTTCCCCCTGTATGCTGTAATTACCAGCAATGAATAAAGAAACTGCTTTGGACCTATAGCAGGGCACAACTTAGTTAGGCAGGGAAAACTAAACTGAATGTTGGGAGAAAGATGGATGAAGTCAAGGAGAAGCCATGTAGCCCCCCGCTGGAGACAGACACCACAACTTTACCAGGTAAGCCACTGCCATATGATGATACACAGATTACCAGAAATGGGTTAAATTAAGATGTAAGAGTTAGCAAATAAGAAGCTAGAGCTAATGGGTCAAGCAGTGATTTAAAGAATATAGTTTCTGTGTGATTATTTTTTTAACTGAGCAGCTGGGAACCAACAAGCGGCTCCTTGCAACACTGGTACTATCTCTGTAGACCAGGTTGGCCTCAAACTCACAGAGATCAGATCTGGCCGGCCTCTGGGTCCTGAGTGCTGGGATTAAAGGTGTGCGCTCCCACTGCTTGGCACAATGCCTGTCTTTGTACATGCTCCTCTCTTTGGTTAAACTCTTCCTCACACAGAAGCAAGCTCACCCCTCCTCATCAATGATCCCTTCAAAGTTTATTCAACCTTCTCCAAAGGATCTTGTGGAATCATTTTACCACAGTGTTTCTCAAGCAGTATCACAATCACTGCTTACTGGAGAGAGGCTCCCTTTCTGCTCTGGCAGAATTTTGATACTAATGGCATCCCTGGTATAGGTGAAACTTACAGAACCATTCTCTCTTTGTATCCCGTAGGAAAGTGGGACCACTTGGGTTGCAATTAAATGTACCATAGGGCAGTTCACCTGAGGAGTGACCCCTCTGTAGCTTTTTGGGAGGGGTATAGATCCAATTGAGAGGAACTTTTCTCAAAGTTTTCTCTGAGATAGCTATTTTGATGTTCAGACACTAGGCAACCTGAGATTAGGAGTTCATTGGTGGTCGAAGTGCTATGAATACTCATTCAACTAGTGGCCTTCAGTGCCCCTCATCTAACAGAAAGTTCAGGTTTGAGAAAGAGGAAGTTTATCTTTTTTTACCAAGTAACCCTCCCAAGAGCTCTTGGGACCATTCAGCAGGCAATCCTATCTGTTAAAACACATTTCCTAAACAGGTTCCCCCAACCTAGCTCAGCACCTAGTGCAGAAAAGGCAGCCAAAAATAGTACCAGGTGGCATTTATTTCCTGTTCCCCACCCCCTTGTTTGTTTTAAGACGAGTTGGCCCAGGTGTCTCTCAAATTGCTAGACTGACATAAAGCTCCACCCTCAGCTCCCTGAGTAACTGGACCCACAGGTCTGCCGCTTCCCCAGGCCTTAATGCTGGTCATCCAAGTCCTAATGGGTGCAGGTAGCTTGGCATGGTATATTGTCAGTTCCCAAAATATCTATGAAAGATAAGAATTATTTACTGGGGCTGAAGAGATGGCTCAGTGGTTAAGAGCATTTACTGCTCTTATAGAGGATCTGGGTTTGGTTCCTAGCCCCCAAATGACTCACAACTGCCTGTAAGTCCAGTTCAAGGGGCCTGATATCCTCTTCTGGTTTCCACGGACTCCTGCACACATGTGGTACACATACACACTATTAACACACCCATATCATAAATGAATACTTAAATATGTAATTTATTTTTATTCATGTTCATTGGTGTTTTACTTGCATGTACGTCTGTGTGGGGGTGTCAGAAAGCCTGGAACTGGAGTTACAGACAGGTGTGAGCTGCCGTATGGGGGCTAGGAATTGAACCCAGGCCCTCTGGAAGAGCAGCCAGTGCTCTTAATTGCTGAACTATCCTTCCAATCCCAAATTAAACAAATAATTTTTAAAAGAATTATTTATTGCATTTTATAATGAGAAAACCAAAGCTAGAGATACTAAATGACACGCCCAAGATCATCTATTAGTCAGTAATGGCATCTGAACCCACATCTGTGCTCTGAAACCAGTACTCCCGTCCCGCACTGTGCAGCTTTGTGCTTAATGGGTGCCCCATCTTCAGCTCCATCTTTGTCTCTCTCTGGGTAGGTAGGGATGAATATCACTTGTCCTGAAGCCCATGCCTGAGTGTGCTTGAGCTGACACACGGTCTACCAACAAGGCCTCCTGAATTCTCTGCTTTACCACAGCTGCCTGGATTGTTTCTTTTTTTTCCCCTTATACTCAGTGTAGTCTGCTCTGACTTCCAGACCTAGTGAGTACTTGAAAAGCTGTGGTCAAAGGCTATTAGGAAAAGTCGGGGGAGTAGGAACAATACAAGTCAGGGACAGGAACCCAAAGCCTTGGCAAGGCCCTTGGGGACAGAATGAACCAAGGTCAGTCAAGTCGGATGCAGGAAAGAGCAGCCTTTTCCCTCACAATATGCCTGGGGAGTTGTTCAGAACAGGACGGCTCTGGCAACAGAAGCTGTTCAGTTCCCCGGGGTCTTGTAAGCCCTAACGATCTTGCCACCACCCCATCAACAGCAGTTATTAAGCGGCCTAATTATTAAACAAGACAGGTGGAAGAGAAAGGTAGGAAATTGGAGGGGGTTGAATCAAGCATTCTCGAAAGCCAGAAAAATGTCTGTGTATGTGTAACCCCTCCCTTGGAGAGCAAAGTGAATGTGCCTGACCCAGCCAGGTGCATTGTTAAGCCTGTTGGGGAGAGATAGGGAAACAGACCATTTTTCTCTCTCCGTCACAAACAGTGCGAGCTCAAAGCTGAACTGCCAAGACTCCAGAATAAATCCTCTGGATTTATTCTCCCATCAAGGCCAGAGAACTGACAGAATCCCAGGCAAGAATAATGTCTGTTCAAGGTAATGCTGAGGATGCTCTAAGCATAAAGACGTTCTATTAGTAAATCGGCAAGACGATAAGCTCCACGGTAAGACGCTGTACTCTCTTTCTAATTCTAGGATGAAGTCCGATGCCCGGCCCAGAGCCGATGCTCGGGAAATGCTTACTAGAATCAAATGGGAATCGGGAGCTGAGTCCTGTGCAACTTCGTATTCCGCCCAAGGCTAGCAGCACTGCGTGAATGAAAGACGATGGACGTTAATGATGGAGTTTGCAGTTTCAAAGGACCCTTGCCGGGAACACGGGTTTCTGCTGCAGTACTGTGGGCTCCCTAATTATTTAGGAAGTCTGTGTTCTTGTCTTCATTTCATCTTGGCTTTGTCCCCTAGTAGACAGAGCTTCTGATAAATAAATATGGCTGCTAAACAAGAAAAAGATCAAGGGCCATTCTGCTGGCTTTTCTTCCTCCTCACCAAGTGTCAGGAGTCCTGAGCCTCCAGGGCTGTCTGGGCGTGTCTCCTCTCCCCACCTTTGTACAGACCAGGCTGGGATTGTTTCAGAAGCTGGGATCATTTACCTCCAGCTCTCCTGACCCCTTCCCTTCCACTCCTTACTCTCGTCCATGTTCTCATCGTCTCTAGGTAATTTTGGACTCCATGCACTCAGCTGTGACCTGCTCCCTACAGATTCAACAAATCTCAATTCCGTGGATTTGGCACTTTTACACAGAGAGCACATTTGGAGGGCCGAGGACGCATCTCAGAGGTAGAGCCAGCAGGCATGGGTTCCTAGGCCTGATCCCACATGCACATGCACACTCAAAGCATCCACACACATGCACATGCACACTCAAAGATATGCACATGCACACTCAAAGCACACACACCTGAAAGTTCATCATGGAAAGCCAAGAAATGACGTGGGTGTTGAATGGGGGTGGTGTGTACTTAGACAGAGAGGCAAGAACCTTGTTTCACAAGAGTCCTATGTAAAAGGATGACAAGAGTCATCAGTCTTCCCTTCCCAATCAAATAGACAGGTGCACACGTCACAGCAGGGGCTTCATCTGGCACCGAAGTATCTTCTGGTGTATTGCACCACTACATGAAAGTCCATTTCACAGCTGAGAAACGGAAACTCAGAGAGCACAGGAGGCTTCCTGCCCCCCCACCCCTCCTCCACCCCTCCCCCAGCTGGGTGCCTCACCTTGAGGCTCTTCTCCCTGGACTTTTGCAGAGTTCATCACACAGAGACGGAGTTATTTACCAACATCGTTTCCTGCTTGGTCTTCTGTGCGCTCTCAGAAGACAGAAACCGTGTCTTTCGTCTCTGTGACTCAGAAGGATAAAGCTTTCCATACACGCTGGTAAATGGATGACTTCCCCGAGGTCACCCCGCTGCTAACTCAGGCACAGCTGGTACAAGAACCACGACCAGTGTCTTTCTGATTCTCTGTCCCTGGTTCCTTCCAGAACACTTTGTGAAAGAAAATGGGCTGAGGACTTACAAAATGTCAATTAAACATTTGGTAAGTTCCTAAATTATGTGAAGAGTTGTGGGTCTTTTTGGGTTTTAATGATAATGATGATGATGATGATGGTGATGATGATGATGATGATGATGGCCAGGGATCTAGCTCAATGTAGAGTATTTGCTTAATTTCTTCCGTAAAGAAACACAAAACAAAATCCCTCAAACCTTCCATTCTCCTATGTTGCCATTGGCAGGAATTCCAGACAGTTACCCAGGGAAGAGCTGGGGGTCACAGTTATGATCCCTGGATCTGAAGTAGCCAAGCAAACATCTCTTCAGAGGCAGGGTCTACCGGTGAATGCAAACCAGACCAAACTCTAGTCTCCAAGATGGCTTCCCTGCTGGGTGTGAACACACACTGTGAAGTGATTTGGTGTGAAAAAGCACCACCCTTACCACTTGTCAATGAACACTTTGCTTCTGTGCAGGCTACAAGTGAACAGGATCACAATTTATTAGTGTGTTCCGAAGCCTTTCTTCTCACAGTTGTCCTAGGACTCTGAATTCTTTTCTTTCTGTCTCCTGGAGTTTCTGGGCTTACAGGTACACACTACCATGCTAGTGTTTTGTGCTGCTTGGGTGAAACCCAGGGCTCTCTGGACACATCCTAAGACACTTGCTCTACCATGGACCTGGGGCTTCACTGTTGCAAACCCCCGCCTCTCTTCTCCCCAGAGTTTCATATTGTAGCCTAGGCTGGCCTGGAGCTTACTATGTAGCCCAGGTTGAGCCCTCACTCATGGTAACCTCTACCTATCTCCCAGATGTTTTCCAGGTGTGCTGGGATTATAGGCGTGCACTGCTATGGTCGGCACTGTTATGATTTTTATGCCGCCTGCCCTGTCACCTTTCCCTTTAAGAGACAAGCTCTGCCCACTCCCAATCATCTGAGTCTGCCCCCATCTTCTGAAGACGCAGCTTTCTGTCTCTCTCTCCCGCTTTTCTTCTTCTTCTTCTCTTCTTCTTCTTCTTCTTCTTCTTCTTCTTCTTCTTCTTCTTCTTCTTCTTCTTCTTCTTCTTCCTCTTCCTCTTCCTCTTCCTCTTCCTCTTCCTCTTCCTCTTCCTCTTCTTCTTCTTCTTCTTCTTCTTCTTCTTCTTCTTCTTCTCCTCCTTCTCCTCCTTCTCCTCCTTCTCCTCTCTCTCTCTCTCTCTCTCTCTCTCTCTCTCTCTCCCTCCATTTCTCTCTCTTTCTCTTTTTTTCTTCCCATACCCCCTCCCAATACCCACTCAATAAATTCTCCATACCCAAGCTCTCTCTGTCTGTTACCTTCCACAGACCACCACACTAGCGGTGGGACTTGCCAGGGTCACTTGTGCCGAAATCATAACACCAATGCCCCCAAAACTCTGCAAGCCATAAGACATGAGGTCAGAAACTTCCAGAATGACATAGATGTTTCGAGGGCATAAACCAGCTCTCTATCAATACAAAGAAATTGCAAAGGTGACTTATGTACTCTATTCGCTCGTTTGTTTGCTTTTACCGCTCAGTCTTTTAAATCCTGAAATGGGTCTAATCTTAAAGGTGACCATTAGATCGGTGAGTGCCATTTCTCAGCTACTCTTGAAGGTGTCTGAGATGGAGCCTGTCACATGGCTCATTGTATAAAAAAAATATTAAATGGTTAACAAATGTATTTTCCGTTTTCTTTCCCCCTCCCCACCCCTGCCAGTCTAACGAGACCTAGAACAAGTGTTCTACCTCTGAATGACACTGGGCTCCTTTGTTTAACTTAAAAAAGGGAGAGAAAGAAAAACTTGTTGTTGGGGATTAAAGTCATGCTAGACAAATACACTATGACTGAGTTACAGCAGCACCCACTTTTTAAATTTAAAAGGTTCTCAAGAAGAAAGGAAGGAAGGTGGCCTTTGGGCTGCTGTGAAAACAAAACGGAACCCAGAAATATATAAAATAGAAAATGAGAACCCACTCTCTCCTCCATCCTGCTCTCTCCAGAGGAAATTGCCTTAGAAAACAGGACGCGCAGCATTAGGCAGACGGGGTGGCACACTGCAGCAATCACAGTGGTTAAGACAGGAAGATCGAGAGTTCAAGGCCAGCATGAACTACTCACTGAGACTATCTCAATAAAATAAACCATAAAATAAAGAGAGTCAAGGCATTGCTAAACATTCATCTGTTCCTTGCTTATCTTGTAAGAGGCCATTCTCTCCAAAGGCCTCTTTGTGTTTGTTAGGGTGTGTGGCTGGCACTGCCAGTGTTCTGCTTGTGTTTCCATGGAAACCTTATCATTGCTACACATGGCAGCCTGACTTCTGATGGCCAGTGCCTCCATTTGTCGGATGCCTCTCTCCAGCCACCAAAGTCAATTTGACTGTAGCTGGTTGTGGAAGGCTTTGGGAATTGATGTGCACGGGAACAAAGCCTTCAGCCTTAAGTAACCCAAAGCTATTGGAGTTTAGGCATTCCAGCTCTCTGGATCTCAGCTAGGATGATCTTTAGGCACGTGCTTGGCACTACTTTCAAAATTTCTCTGAAAGTTTAAACTCCGGTCATGCTAGTTTATGGAGCAATAGGCAGCCTTCATTGGCTGCCTGCCCTTCCGTGTACCACTCCCCAGTTGATCCGCTTAAAGTTTCTCAAGCATGTACCTTGCACTAGTCATGCGGTCTGCTTCTGGGATAAGATAAAGATATGCTCTGGTCTGTTTCATCATTTTTATTGCTAAAGGCTGTGTAGGGTTTTTGAAGGCATTTTGCTTGTGGTGCCAGCAAATCCTCACATACACTGAAGCATATATGGTTTTGCCAACAAGCTACATCTTCAACCCGGTGCTTGCAGATAGAAAGAAGACTGCAATAAGATATTCATACACATAGCTTAAACTCTCGCACATATTTCTGAGTTATAACTGCTAGGTCAAAGGGAGTTCGTAATTGATATTTAAGGAGCTTTATTAATAATCACAGTGGCTGGGGAGATGGCTTATTGGATAAAGCACTTGTTACACAAGCATGAGAAATCAAGTTCGGATTCCCGGAACCCATCTGGAAAGGCTAGGTAGTCACGGCAGCTCTCCTGTAATTCCAGCACTTGGGACGCAGAAGGTGGAGACAGAATCCACAGAGCAGTCCTTGCTTCACTAGCCATGCTGGTGAGCTCTGGGTTCAACGGAGAGATCCTGCCTCAAAGAGTAACATGGACAGCGGTGAAAGAAGACTCCCAAAGTTAACCTTGGGCCTCCATGTTGTGTACATGCATACACAGTTGCCTGAGCATGCCCACACATATGAACACATGTATGCAAACACACACCACATACATACACATGGTTTTTTTTTTAAAAAAAATCTCTTTCCAACAGTGTAATAAATTGTATTTTAATCCCCCTTTGTCACCATTAGATATTATAGGTAATGTTTAACTGATCAGTTAGACAAAAATCTATGTACTCTATAGACCTGTTATCACATTTTAACTTATATTGCTTTAATAAATCAGGGTGATAAACATTGCACTTCCGGTGGTTATGGGCAGGAGAACACACAGAAAACACATGCTAAGGTCTAGATATAATTAGTTGACAGTATAATCTTATCAGCTATGAGTGACTGCAGAGATCAGAGATAGATAGATGCCTTCATGAAGTTTTCTCTAGACACCAAACCTGGAGGTGGGGCATGCTATGTCTATAAGGAAGACAAGTTAGGCCTGGGAAAACTCAACTTTTTATGTCTTAACCTCAAGACCTTTATACATAAACACAGTGTTTCTGTCTAAGAGATTGCTACCAAGCTAGTATTCAAGCCCAGGGCTCTGTGCAAGCTGGGTGAGTGCCCTACCATTGAGCCCTTGCTTCCCCGCCCCCTTTTCTCTTTTCTTCTTGAGTCTCAGTATGTAGCTACCCAATGTTGCTGCCTCAGTCCCCCCACTTTGGACATCACAGCTATGTGCCACCATGGTGGGTCTTTCTAGATTCTTGGAACAAATGAAATAAGGCCTGGTGTCACCAAACAATGACAGCTGTTCAGTGTGAGCTTTCCGGGAAACCTGTCTCCCTAGAGAACAGCCCTTGCCAGTGACTTCTGTCTGCTTGGCTCTGAAGTTGGGAGGGGCCTGAAATCACAGTGACAATCCACTTCCCTAAAATCATCTGTTCATGTGCTCAATGATAATTTGTATCCCTTTGTGATTATCCAATTCATACACTTTGTCCATTTTTTTATTGAACTATCTTTGCTTTTTGTATTTATTTATTAAAGAACATTTATATGTGGATATTAGCCCTTTGTTTACAGCTTTTAATTTTTATTCAGTCATATCCATCGTTATTTTTATTTCTGATCTGGGATTATGTGTCTTCCTTACAAAGTTTACTAATTCCAACATAAATCATAAAGATATCATATTTTTATTATTGCCTTCCTTTTGTTCTTTCTTTTTATTTTAGACATGGTTTTCCTATGTTGCCCAGGCTGGGCTTGAACTTTTAGGCTCAAATAATCCTCCTGCCCCCAATGCTCAACTAGTTAGGACTATAGACACGCCCACTACATCTGGCTCTCAATTGAGATTTTTTAACCCATCCAAAATTTAGTTGTGGATAACATGTAAAGAATTGGCCTGAGAATTCTGTTCTTCTCCTGCTACTGCAAGAGAAAGGTGTTTTTCCAGTTGCATGTTTCTGATTACACAAATTACATTAGTATTTCATCAAACCCCATTGGTTTCTCTTAGCAAAGACAACATTTGTGTCTGTATTTGTTGAAAGAAGGTAGTCAATACACCCACTGTGTAGCCATTAAGCAACTATTACCCTTGGCCTTTGTTTCTTATCTGTAAATGAGGAAGCTGGAGCAAATACTAATTCTTCCTAAATTAGTGATGTTAAAGTTTAAAGTGTTCCCATCCTTCTGACCAAAAGGGAGTTCAGTCTCATACAGGAGAAAACAGAATCTTGTGTCTGTAGCTGCTAAAGGGCATTGGACTTTTTACATGTGAAAGTGATACCAGGGGTGGTGGGGACAGGCATC